TTGAAGTTTAACCTACTTTTCAAAAATGTTATATTTCCTTATAACTTTTGATTGAGAAGAGATAGGACTTTTATATTTGACATGTACATTACCTGTAACAAGATGTTTCCAAGCATGCTATGATTTTTTACCCCTTGACCTTGATGTTTTACCTAATTTTCAAAAATTTTAACTTTGGTGATTACTTTTGAATGACATATGATAGGGCGTGCATATTTGAAACAATATGTCATAAATAATGGCATCCCATCCACTAGGACACGGAAAGCAGGGGACCACAATTCTTTGAATTTGCTTGTTAGTCATTTTGATATGGAAACATCCTCATATAGTGTAGATTCAAGTTTTTTATGCCCTGCCATGAATATGGCCGAGGCATATAGTGTTTGTCATGTCCGACTTCAATAAAACATCATATGCTGATACATACTGATGTAAGCTTTTCAACTGCATCAAAATTTTTGACCTTGAATTTTCCTTTGACCTTGACCTTACTTTTCTTAAATTAGTGTCTAGATCAGTTTTGAATAAACAATTCAAGATATATTTATCAAACTTCATATGCTGATATAATTATACTGCTGAGAGATATCAATTGCATCAACTTTTTTGACCTTGACTTTTCCTTTGACCTTGACCTCACTTTTTTAAATTAGTGTTTAGGCCAAACAAAAAAATATGTGTGGTTCCGGTTACACTTCCAAAAAAATTAGGGTAGGTAGGTAGGGATTTTTATTTTTTTATTATTATTTTTTTTTTTTTAACAAAATGATTTTCTTAATTTTTTTTCTAAATAATACCTATCACTGCTTTGCAAATGGCATTTAGATGTGGTGTGATAATATACTAGTCAATATTGGTAGGGGACACCTACATGCTAGCTTGCTTTGGATTTAACACTATTAAACACTTGCACTATGTTTTGCAAAGAGGCCGTCATTGCTGAAACTAAAACTTAAACTGGAGCCATTGATGGAAATTGGGGGAAATTCCGGAAAAATATGAAAATTGCCAAAAAAAAGTTTAGGGTCGGGGGTATAAAATAGGGAAGGTCGGGTAACCCAAACCACACATATTTTTTTATTTGGCCTTATCTACATTTTAAATAAACCATTTCTGATATTTTTGTTGAACTTCTATGCTAATAGTAAATACATACTGATATAAGTTTTTCAACTGCATCAACATTTTGACCTCAACCTTTCCGTTGACCTTGACCTCTCTTTTCTCAAATAAGTGTTAAGCTCAGTTTTAAATAAATCATTCAAGATATTTTTATCAAACCTAATATGCTGATATGTATTAGTGAGAGCTCTTCCACTGCATCAAAAACTTGAAAATGAAAATTCCGAAACCTTACTGCACATCAACATGACACCACCAACCATCTCCCAAAAGATGATTAGGCTACTGTGTAAAATGTAAGAAGAGTTCTGGGAACCAGGGTTTTTTTGCATAAAAAACATCATATTTCGACCCTCATTTGACCCCCAGGGTGAAAATGAAAATTCCAAAACCTTACTGCACATCTATAGGACACCACCAACCATCTCCCAGAAGACGATTAGGCTACTGTGTAAAATGTAAGAGGAGTTCAGGGAACCAGGGGCTTTTTGCTTAAAAAACGTCATTTTTTGACCCCCATTTGACCCCCAGGGTGAAAATGAAAATTCCGAAACCTTACTGCACATCTGCAGGACACCACTAACCATCCCCCAAAAGATGATTAGGCTACTGTGTAAAATGTAAGAGGAGTTCAGGGAACCAGGGGCTTTTTGCATAAAAAACGTCATTTTTCGACCCCCATTTGACCCCCAGGGTGAAAATGAAAATTCCGAAACCTTACTGCACATCTACAGGACACCACCAACCATCTCCCAAAAGATGATTAGGCTACTGTGTAAAATGTAAGAGGAGTTCAGGGAACCAGGGGCTTTTTGCATAAAAAACGTCATTTTTCGACCCCCATTTGACCCCCAGGGTGAAAATGAAAATTCCGAAACCTTACTGCACATCTACAGGACACCACCAACCATCTCCCAAAAGACGATTAGGCTACTGTGTAAAATGTAAGAGGAGTTCAGGGAACCAGGGGCTTTTTGCATAAAAAACGTCATTTTTTGACCCCCATTTGACCCCCAGGGTGAAAATGAAAATTCCGAAACCTTACTGCACATCTACAGGACACCACAAACCATCTCCCAAAAGACGATTAGGCTACTGTGTAAAATGTAAGAGGAGTTCAGGGAACCAGGGGCTTTTTGCATAAAAAACGTCATTTTTCGACCCCCATTTGACCCCCAGGGTGAAAATGAAAATTACGAAACCTTACTGCACATCTACAGGACACCACCAACCATCTCCCAAAAGACGATTAGGCTACTGTGTAAAATGTAAGAGGAGTTCAGGGAACCAGGGGCTTTTTGCATAAAAAACGTCATTTTTCGACCCCCATTTGACCCCCAGGGTGAAAATGAAAATTCCAAAACCTTACTGCACATCTACATGACACCACCAACCATCTCCCAAAAGACAATTAAGCTACTGTGTAAAATGTAAGAGGAGTTCAGGGAACCAGGGGCTTTTTGCTTAAAAAACGTCATTTTTTGACCCCCATTTGACCCCCAGGGTGAAAATGAAAATTCCGAAACCTTACTGCACATCTACAGGACACCACCAACCATCTCCCAAAAGATGATTAGGCTACTGTGTAAAATGTAAGAGGAGTTCAGGGAACCAGGGGCTTTTTGCATAAAAAACGTCATTTTTCGACCCCCATTTGACCCCCAGGGTGAAAATGAAAATTCCGAAACTTTACTGCACATCTACATGACACCACCAAACACCTCCCAAAAGATGATTAGGCTACTGTGTAAAATGTAAGAGGAGTTTGAGAAATAAGAGTGTGACAGACGGACGGACGGACAGACATGAGTAACAACAATATACCCGAACTTTCTTTAGAAAGTGCGGGTATAACAAGTAATTTTCAATACATAACATTGACTTACCAATGCTTTAACCTGTACCTGCCTGGGATCACACACCCATTCCTCTATACCATGCTTAATGTAAGATAAGAACAGTATTATGTTTAAATAATAAAATAAATGTTACTTACAATAATTTACACATTATCTAGATACACTTTTCCCTTCTGTTGTGTATACTTACTGATACTATGTGAACTGCTTTTTGGCAAACTTGTTTTCTGATGTCTTTTTCAAGTTTCTTCTCTTCCTCCCAAACCACTTTTTCGAACATTGACTAGAAAATTAGAACAATAAATGAAGGACAAGATTCTACTGGAAATAGTAGTTGCATATGCTTTAAGGTCGTAGCAAACCCCTTGGTCATGAGCAATCACTGTATCAAGTACGAGCTTCCAGTGATTCTCTAATACAAATAAATGGCTCGGGCAAATATTTTATACAAAACTTTACCAAAGAATATTCTGTGCTACGTTTGGTTGACATTGGCCCAGTGATTCTTGAAAAGATAAAATTGAGAAAAATTTACAAGTAGGTTTGCAACGACAATAATGATAAAACTTACACCAAGAACGCCAACAATGATGACAAACAATGAACAAATTATGAACAGTTCATTTGAGCCTTTGGCTTGAGAGATGAGATACAGATTGAAAATTGAAATTATTTTTTCATAGTCAATACGATCGACATCTCGACGGGCCTGCATTAAAAAACCTAGCTAGGCCTTCAATAAAAACATGCAGGAAATCAGGTCCCTGTGTATTTAGGAATGTACTTGTATATAAAATATTGGTAGTGCCTTTCTCCCGGAATTCAACACCTGCTTCTGTTAAGGTATACTTACCTGAGTAAAATCAACCGATTAAAATTTCGGATCTGAAGGACAACATTTTATTTATAGAGGGGGGGGGGTATACGTAACTTCAGATCTGAAGGAATGCATTTTATTTATTGGGAGGAATACGTATACACAGTGATGAGAGGAAGTTTAATCACCTATCAGTCTATAAAATATGAAAGATTGCTTTGGAATATTTGTATTCAATTGTCTTCTCATCAAGTCACTCAGAATCTACAAGTTTTAGTTAACCATCCTCCACCAGGTAAAAATGAAGTATATAGGTTAAAAAAATATACACCATTGGTCTTCTATTACATAAATGCTCAAAGATCTTTATTCCAACCTTGACCTTTTCCAAATGATAGAGTCTGAACTTACCATCCTTCACTTATATAGTAAATTTATGTCTGTTTTTAGGATGGACATGATATAATGACTCCAGTTAAAGTATCACATTGAATGGACAGGGTGATTACTACATAGGACAAAGTGATCCAAAGCTCTAATAAATGTACATGAAGTACTTTAATATATAATTACAATTAGCATTTTTGATATTTGTTACCTGTATTTTGGTGGCTGGTTGTTTCTTTTCTTTATCATGGCTGATGCGTATCCACTGTAATGCTGCTGTTTCAATCACATGGACAGACCTCTTGAGCTTTAGAAACCGAATACGGCACAGTCTCCCTTTTACCCAGTTCTGCAAAAATTAATTACATAAAAATTATCAAAACTTGTTCTTTGCATGACATGAACCGTAGTCAGATACCATGAGCACATATGTACATATAATTTCATGCAAGACAATATACTTTTTTCCACAATTTTTGGCCCTCGAACCCCCAACATTAATCAATGATATTTCAGTCAGAAAATTTGATCATACAATTTATATCAGAAATTAATTGAAAACCTTACCTGTATTATGAGGGCGCTATGAAGTTGTTTCTTGGCTTCACAAAGTGATGCATGTTTTCTGTAGCATCTCTGCATAACTGTTGCTTTCAGGTGAATCTCTACGTTCCTGGTGAATTGTAACAAATATGTTTGTCTTGCTTTCTCCTGCTGCTACAAAAGAAATTCATTTCAGATAAAAGGAATTATGACAAAAAAACCAACATGCTTATTGCAGAACTACAACTTGTTCCAACCAATATACCAGTTCAAATTTTCAAAGTTGGTCCAAGACTAACCTTGACAAGCTTAATGTGCCTGTGGTTCCTTATCATTCGCTGTATTATAGTCGCAGCTTTATGAAGTTTCTTTAGCCTCCTTCTTTCTAGAAAACCCCTAGAACCAGACTGGAGCAAAACTATGGCCTGCTTCATTCTTTGGTATATGCATCTTGTCTTGTAACCTTTATAATATGCTTGAATAGTAAGAGCAGCACCTTTAAGGACCAAGAACTTCTTTCGGTCTGACTGTGCTAACCTACAAGCTCTGTAAGTTTTCTGACAGATAAGGACTGATTTTCTTAGTTCTATATACAGTATGTGTTGTTTTCGTCCTTTGTACCATGACTGAATTCTTCTGGCACTTTCTTGTTTCAGCAACATCATTTTCCTAGTCTGGTTTCCTCTGTAGTATGATTGCATTGTCACAGCTGCTTGACGAAGGGCCAAATACTGATGATGAACCAATCTTCCATCTTTTTTTGCCTAAAAATTGAAAGACACATGGAGATGCACAAAATTTCTTATTTTGGTCATCAAAGTAAAGTCAAATAATACTCTTGGTGTTCGGAGTGATACAGCTACACTGCTTCCGGAATCTTCAATATTACAACAGTTTTCATGGATTTTGAAAAAGTCGGGCTCAAAAAGTTAATCTTACTTCTTTTTTCTCGTCAATGCCTTCTTCCTTCTGTGAAAAAAAAATCAAAAACGTTTGTTTAGGAATTGATATCGTAAAATATATAATAATAATAATTCATAGTCTTTAAGGTGAAAAAAGTATATAACTTACTTCTTTTTTCTTGTCAATGCCTTCTTCCTCCTTCTGTGAAATACATTAAAAAATGTAATGAAATTGAAATGAATAATACAAATAAATTCAGATTAAGATTTAGAGAATTATACTTTGAAGATTTACAAAGACTTTAATTCTTTGGTAATGTTGATAACTTTTCATTTTCAAAAAATAAAGAGTAATCCAGTTAAAATCTACATACTTACCATCATTTCATTAATGACAAAATATCTGAGCTCAGGGTTTTTCTCAAGCTCTTCTTTAACTCTCAGCTTTACTCTTTGCAGGAAAATCTAACCAACAAGTAATTTTGCTGATTTATTTTAATAACACTGTGTTTTCATCACATCATCTGATTGATTGGAGTTCAATTTATCAGTGATGATACTCAAAAATAGAACAAAATCCAATAAAAATCAACTAAATGGATTTATCTAATTGCTTGTTGACTTTTTAACATTAACTGTTATAGTTATCTGTAACATATGTGATAAACATTCAAAATAGAAAAAAATTGCAATAAACTAGCAATGTGATATCGGCGAAATCAGACTCCATGCTAGAAAAATGACTAGAAAAAAGAGAGTTGAATTTAGTTCTGTGCACCCCGTGCTTTTGAAGAATTTTATGATGAAAAAAGGTGCCTAATAATGCAACATTACTTTACCGTAGTCAGACAGAAATAGCCCAAACAAATGAATGAATGGTGTTATTTCAGTGCTAAATGTTAATGTTTACGAGTGTACTTGTAATTTGTTTATTTATATTTTATTAACAGTAACTAAAATCACTTTGTATCACACACTCACACACAAAATCACAAAGAACACACTGCTTAGGGAATAAAAAAAATATTTTATGTATCATTTATATTAAAAAAATTAGATGTATGTAAAATAGTAACAAGTAATTTTCAATAGATAATTTTGACTTACCACTGCTTTAACCTGCACCTGCCTGGGATCACACACCCATTCCTCTATACCATGCTTAATGTAAGATAAGAACAATATTATGTTTAAATAATAAAAATAAATGTTACTTACAATAATTTACACATTAACTAGATACCCTTCTGTTGTGTGTACTTACTGATACTATGTGAACTGCTTTTTGGCAAATTTGTTTTCTGAGGTCTTTTTCTAGTTTCTTCTCTTCCTCCCAAACCACTTGCTCAAAAATTGACTAGAAAATTAAAACAATAAATGAAAGACAAGATTCTACTGGAAAGAGTAGTTGATAACATTTATTAATAAATAAATATACCTTGGACTGATGAGATCAATTTTTAAGGTATTTGCTACTTCAACTAGATGCTGTCATGAGACAGTAATACCCGCACTAAGGTGTTTGCCTCTAAATGCACACTCCTTCATATTGGGCTTACCAAGGAAAAAGTCCAAATAATTCTATAATTTACACAGTACATGTATTCGTCAAATCGAGCATAAAATGCTCAGGTGACCATGTGACCCATGAACCTCTTATACGCATTTCATATACTTAATTCATTACCAGTCTGAAATATCAGAATTTAATTAATGTTGTAAATTAGGTTTTAATAAAAAGGGGGGGATATAAATTTTTGGTCCATAATTGGAACTTTTTAAATTAAATTTATCTTCTCAACAACAAATAATATTATTTTAGTACAAAGCGTTTTTGATGAATTTATCAAAATGTGCAAACTTTTTT